TGCTTGCAGCAGGGCTCTGGATGTTTGCTGGAGGCGCTGGGCTTTCCTGAAGCACCCCCAGGGGATTTACAGCTGGGGCTGCCCCAGGGCCACAGCACCCACACCCCAAGAGACCCTGCCGGACCCTTCAGCCCCACTTAATAAGTCCTAATTACAGGAGAAATAGATGAGGTGGTGAAAATCCTTCCCGAAGTGCTTTGCCAGCATGAACTGCAGCAAACGCATCTCGTCCTGCCTGGCCACCAAGGTGCCCTCAGCCGTGCCTCAGTTTCCCATCCATGAAGCATCCCTTGTGTCAGTGCTCATTGAGCTGGGTTGGTGAGAGCTCTAATTAAAGGACATCTCAGCCAGCAGAGGAAACCCGTCCTGGCTCTGTCACACCCAACACAAAGCTACCACGGAGCCCCCGCAGCCCCTGGGGCCGGGCTGTTTGCATTGAGGCTTAATTCACTCCCGCGCTATTTAAACTCTCCGAGGAAACAGCCTTTGGAAATACTCACAACTGGGCTGTAAATCTTTTAAATCGAGGGATGTAAATAATAAATGATACAAGGAGCGTGGTGCTCGGTTTTATAGCCGTCCATCGATCTGGTGGCTGGTGATGGAGCTGCTTAGCGGGAGTGAGACCCAAAGCTGCAAGGTTTTGGGTACCAGCAAGCCCCTGACCCAAGGGATGGGGCTGGAAAGAGCCCCCAGGAGCATCCCATGGAGCCAGGGGATGTCCCTGGTGCCACACAGCTCCCTAATCCCAGCCCATCAAACTGGAACAGGCTGGAGGAGCGAGGATGAGCTGAGAAGAGCCTGATCGAGCCGCCCAGCCCAATCCTTCTTCATTACACGGAGAGGCAAAATTAGCAGCAGACACCGTGGTCTCCCCGCGGCTGAGCGAGGGCTGCTAATTGCACTGACAAATGATGCCAGAGCTGCCCCGGCAGGTAAACGCTGCTCTGCGTGCACCCTTGCTTGAGCTTATTCCCTCAGCACTAAGAGCAAATCCTGCGTCTTTCAGCCCTGGTGAGTCCTGCTTAAAGCAGAATAAAAGAAGGAGACAAAGAGGAAATGTGGAGACGTTGCAGTGAGCACTCCAGGGCTGCTCCAGCACCCAGAGCATCCTCTCCCCATCCTTCAGGAGCAAACTCCAAGACACCCAGTGCCACATCTCCAGGCAAAGAAGAAGATGTGGTCACACAATTTTGGACAATAATTCAAGAAAGGTGGCCCCAAGCAAGGCGAGGGCAATCAGGAAGCCCATCTGCAGGGCTCTGCATCGCCTTAAAGGCAGGGAGCAGCTCTGCCAGCCCTTGGTGTGCCCTGCGAGAAGCCTCTAAGGAACCTGAGCAGCCTCCAACCCCCAAAACTCAGCACAGCTTTCCCATACTGTCCTCCTCGGGTCCCAGGTACCCATTTCCACGCTAATAACACCCCATTAACCACCCACCCTCTTTAGCACCCTGCTCCCCCCCTTATTGCTGCTCCCACATTGCAGGTGATGCTCTTGGGGATGTGGGGCTGGGCAGCCCCGCACTGGCCCACTGCTAATTAAGATAATCCTGCAGCTGATCAATGCAACGAGTTTTAGGGCTCCCTCTTAATTAAACACTCTCTAGTTCATCGATCGGCCCAAAAGTTCCCTTTGCAGCAAATCATACCAATTAGCTGGGCACAGGCGCACGCCAGAGTCCTGCTAATTGAAACGTGGTCCCCACAAAGATTTAATTGTAATCAAGGAGCCAAAGTGGCTGGGCTCTGTTAGAGCTTGGGGAGGTGCCCTGGGGACATTAGGGCCAAGGCTTGGCCAGACACAGAGCCCAAGGAGCCAGAGCTGGAGCAAAATGTGATTTTTTAGTGGGCTGACACCAAATTCAAGAGGGAAGGAGCTTCCCATTGCTGCTGTCCCCACATTACCCCTTGGCTGTGGCACCATCACCCCGCGGTGCCCTGTGACGATGAGTTTTCCCAGCCTTTTGCTCGCAGCCTGCACTAAGTAAACCGTGAGGCAAGGGTGCAGGGATGAGCTTTGCCCTGGCAGCATGGGCAGGGCTGCGCGGACCCAACTCCCCAAACATTTTGTGCGCACCCGCGCCAGATTTCACAGCCTGGAGGTTTCACAGCTGCAAATCCCCAAAACCATCCTGCATCCGAGACCTCCCAAACCAGAAACCTTCCTGCCCTGTAGCTGCAATTTTTGTTCTCTTATTGCTTCCACCCCTGGGGGTTCAGGATAAAATAATAACGGCCCTGGTGACAGTGGCCGGGGGGCTGCAGGACTTTGGTGGCTTTTGCAGGGCTGTGGCAGGAGACGTGGGACTCTTTTCTGCCCAGTGGCACAAGGACCAGGGGCAAATGGGGAAAAGCATCGCCCACACGTGGTCCTCTTTGAAACACCATGTCTACAGGGTGACAACAGAGCTGGGGGCCGCCCCATGTCCTGGTGCCACCAGGAGCCACCACGACCCCAACGCCCCTGCGCGGACCCTGCCTGTCACAGCTAATGGCTCTCAGAGCCCTGTCCAAAACCACTTAATTACCACCGAGAGAGGCAGTGGCCAGAGGACGTGGCCGTGGGTGGACACAACGACCCCAGGACCCGCGTGTTGCGAGGACCCCGCAGCGCCTGCGTTATTTCCCCTCGTCCTCCCCCGGGGACGCTGCGTGGCTGCAGCCCCCCCCCCGCGCTCCATCCTCTCGCCTCAGCTGCGATGGGGCTGACACGTTTGCTGACACAGATGCATAAATATATTATCGCAGCCCCCAAAGCCTCAATAATTAACCAGTGGAGAGAGATGGGAGCAAGCTCCCGTGATGGAAAAAACCACGCTGAGGCTGGGGGAGGCTCCCCTCCACCTCCCCATAGCCACAGGGGAGCTGGGGGGGGGGGAACAATCCCTCCAGTCCCTCCGTCCTGCTCGCTCCTCAGCATCCCCATGGGTCAGTGATAAGGATGAGGCCAGACACCCCAAAAATCACCGCAGTCGCTGCGTCTCCCTTGTCCCCACCCCACAAAGCTGTGGAGCTGTGTGTGGATGCTGGGCACGCTGCGGGTGATTTCCCAGCCCCTTTTCCTGTGGTGGCTCCTCGGGGTCTGCACAGTGGGGACAGCCCCGACCAGGCCACCACACGTCCTTCCCTGCCCTGGGCTCATCCTGCTCGCTCTTACATGGGCAGTTTTGCTGGGGAATAACCGTTTTAGATGTTTTTCATAAGCAGAATGCTTTCTGCGGGGGGGGGGGGGGGGGGAAACGTCACCTTCCTGAACGAAAACTCTTTGTGTCTTTTCTTGCCCCCCTCTGGGAAATATCAGGAGGAAAACGCTCCCTTCACCTGCCAGCATGGCTTTGTTGAAACCCTCTGAAGTGCGACGGGCAGGTTTCCTCCCGGCTCCAAATGTCAGCAGCAGAGCCCAGCAACTTCCCCAGGGAAGCAGCAGCAGGAAAATGGTGATTTTAGTGGTTGGGCAGGGGGAAATCCCCTTTTTTTCCCCCATTTTTCCCAGTCTCTACCTCCGGCTGCCTGAATTCCACCCTGGCCCCTTGCAGCAGAGCTGCTTGGTGCTTCTGGAGGCTCAAAATCCCCAAATCTGGAGCAGGACAATGTACACTCGTGCACAGTGCTTGGAGTGGGAGCAACACCTCCCCTGCTCCCTGGTCCCCAAATGTCCCCTGCGCCTCGGTGTCCGCGGTTCCCTTGTTGTGCCACAAATCTCTCATCAAAAGCTGAGCAAGCAGCAGGGGGAAAAGCAGCTGAGAAAGGCGGCCAGCACGGTCCTTCAGTGCGGGACAGGATAAGCTGCTGTGGCCTCTGCCTTCAGCCACATGCTTTTGGGCTGAGCACAGGCTGGGAAGCAGCTGGACATCCCAGTACGGCATCCCAGTATGGCACCCAGTACAGCATCCTACTATGGAACCCATTACAGCATCCCAGTTCAGCATCCCAGTATGGCATCCTGTGCCAGCCAGGCACAGTGGGAGACTGGGGAGGGACATCACTGGTGCCTGCTGCTGGCACTTGTCCCCTACAGCACGGCAGCAGTGTCACCAGCCAGGTGATGGGGGCTCCAGCCCCGGTCCTGGGACCACCGAGAGGTGCTGAGCCCCTCCCAGGTGCTGGGCTCCGCGCACTGGTGTTGGACCCCTGGGGAAAGCCCATGGGGACCCTCCAGGAGGGCTCAGGTCTGGGTGCTGCCCGCGTCCCAGCTCACCATCCCCAGGGGTCCTGGAGACCCACACAGCCCAGAGCCCATGGGAAGAGATAAGGCAGAGGATGAAACCCCAAACACGAGATGCTGCAGGGGGGATTTTTAACCCCAACTCAGCACCAAGGACCAACGATCCCAACACGATTCTTGGCAAGGCGACAACGTGCAGCTCAGCTGCCGGGGGCTGCAGCGAGGCCAGGGCAGGCAGGGGAGCAGGATGCGGCCCCCGGGCCTCCTGCCGTGCTCAGCGGCACCGAGCTCGATGTCAGCAGCAGCATCTGGGCGCCGGGGCACAAATCCCTGCCGAAAGCCCCGCGCACAATGCGGCGAGCTTAAATCCACCCATCCCGTCCCCTGCGGCGTGGCAGGAGCCGAGCGCGGATTCATTGCCCCCCGACGGGGCCATTATCCTTCAGCCGGGCTATTTCCTTCTGAACACCATATGCCGGGGGCTCACCAGGGATTTACTTTCATTTAGCTGCATTTGAATAGATTTTTTTCCATCGCAGATTCCCTTCTGCCGCGGCCAAAGATGCTGCGAGCGCAGCTCCCTGCTGAGCCCGCGCCGGCCGCGGCTGCTCGCTGCCAGAAATGCCCCGTTTCTGGGAGGTTTTGCAAGAAATCCCGGGGCCCCGTGGGAACCCCTTTGGTCAGAGATGTGGGGCAGGATCCGACCTGGCAGTGGGGTGTCCTGCGGGAAGGGAGATTTGCTGGAGCCCCCGGGAAGGTGGTGGCACCGGGTGTCCCCAGGCGGGTGCTGAGCGGTGCTGGGGTGACCGGGGTGCGTGGGACCGAGCCACGGATGGAGCCGGGGCCGGATCCTGCCCAGCACCCTGCGCTGGGCACCCCCAGCACCGCACCCACCCCCAGGAGCCGCACATCTCCACTTAGGGAAATTGGCTGCGATTTAAATTAATGGCAAGCGAGCGAATTGACTATTAACGAGGTGCAAATACCGCTGCGAACCCAGGGACTTCATTTAATGACTTGGAAACAAGTTCTTGACCTACTTCCAACTTGCAAAATCCTTCGTGAAATCGCAGGCGGCGGCGCAGATGAAAATAAATTAAAGGAGCCGGCGCCGGGCCCCCACGCAGCGGGTGGCGATGGGCTGCCCCCAGGGCCGAGCTGCAGCCCCACCGCATCACGGGCACAAAGTGGGCACAAAGGGGGTGAAAAAGGTACAAATCGGGTCTTTTGCTGGTGGTTGTGCAGCGAGGTTGAAGAAAGTGTTTTTTTTTTTTAATTATTATTATTATTTATTTTTCCAGGCTCTGCAGGTGTTGTTACCCCAGCAAAGCCCCTGCTGGGACCTCTCTGCCCCCAAATCCCAGCACTGCTGGATTCGCATCCCCGATCAATGGGATGCGATAGTGGGGGGACACGCAGAGCTTTGGGGTGTCCCCCCCCGGGGCTCCCCATCACCTGCCGAGCCCCGGGCGGCCCTGGCTGTCTCTTGCCATTTTTTCCTCCCCGTTTTTTATTTAATTTTTTCCGTCAGCCGCATCCGGCCGCGTTGCCATGGGAACGCAGCAGCAGCCCCGGCTGTCTAGACGCCGCGCCCCAGGAGCCCGGCACTTGGGCAGGATGCGACCCCGGCACCCATGGGTGCCCCCACCGCGAGCATCAGCTCCGTCCCACGGCACCCCCCGACCCCCCCCCCCCAGCCCCTTCCCAAAGCTGTCCCCAGCTCTATCAGCCCGGGGGATGCAGCCCGGTGGCAGCTGGTGGTGCCAGCCCACGGGTGTCCCCCCAAAGTAGTCCAAAAGTCACCAAGTGCTGCACAAGGCAGCTTACAGCCAGCACCCTCCCATTTTTGGGGTTTGGCTCCAGTTTAGGGAAAGGAAACTGAGGCAGAGCATGGAGATGCCTGACGGGGGGACGAGCATCTCAAGCAGCTCACACCAGGGTCCCCAAATCCCTGCCCGGGCTGTGACACCACAGGCAATGGGCTTGGTTCCTCGGGGTGAGCCGAGGTGGGACCCACGGGGCAGGAGACCCCCCCAAGTCCCCAGACCTCCGAGACAGCAGCACCCCAACAGCCCTGTGCGCCCCCAGACCCACCAGGCTCCCAGTGCCTCCACGCTCGGCGTGTGTCACCCCGCGTCCCCGCAGCGGTCCCTGCCGTCACCCTGCCCTGCGCTGCAAGGAGCCCCAGGAGCTCCAGCAAGGGACAAGCCGGCTGAGCATCCTCTCTGCAACCCAAAAGCGGGGTGGTGGGGTCCCATCGTGTACCAGGGCTCTTCCCAAGCAGCCCCATCCCACCCACGAGGAGCTGTTTGAGCTCTTCTGGAAACCTCCGCGCATCCGATGGTGGCAGCCAGCTCATACAGAGGCTCAGAGCACATTCAAATACTACTTATACTGCGCACAGGCTGGAGATACAATATTGCATCTATTATTTTTACTGTTATATAAATGCTGAACCGGAGCGATAAGGCTGAGATGAGACTTTTTTTTTTTTTTTTTTTTTTTTTTTTTTTTACTGCCACTGACAGAAAGACAAGGAAGTCAAAGTGATTCATTCCCGCACTTCCCCACCAGAAGTTGCCTCCCAGCCGACACCCTCGTGCAGACAGGCTCCATCTGACAAAGCATTTCATGGGCTGCTTTAATTGTCCCCACAAATGGCCTCAGAATGGTCCCCAGGGTCCCTCCACTGAGGACGACAGGGGGGGTGGCCCCATGCCTTGGGTCCTAGGGAGGGATGGGCACAGGGGACGGAGCAGGGACACGGGCAATGGGCCAGACCTGCCCTGGAGCTGCTGCTGTGCCTCAGTTTACCCACCTGGGAAATGGGTGAAGTCCTGCTCTGCTCAGCATCATGTCCAGAAGCATTTGCAGAGGGTGGCTGGGCTTTGCCAAGGAGCACAGTGGCAAATGACATTGCCACCATCTCCTTGGGGCAGGATGGATGTCCCCACGTCCCCATGCCCTGGCCATGCCACTTTGCTCCAGTTGCTGTCCCTTTCTTGAGCCATGGCAATTGAAGAGCTCCTTTCATTAACATCCAGCTGATGGGAACAGCGAGCGATGTTTGGTGACGGAGCCTTTGGTGGAGCTGAGCAGCCAGGGCCACCAGCACGGCCAGGAGGGGCTGGTTCCTCTCACCCTCACTGCCAGGCTAACGGGGAAACTGAGGCACGGGATGGCAGATGATCAGAAGCCTGGAGAAAGGCAGACACCAGGCTGAGAGCAGCTCCTGGCTGCAAACCCACGGAAGCACTGGTGGGGACAACTGGGTGGCCTGGGAAGGGACTTGGGCTGAACCTTTCTGAATTACTACTTGTAGCCTAAGTTAGACCAAGAGGAGAAATCAAGGGAAGAGAAGACCTGGGCAATGGCCATGGCCATCCATCCCATCCCATCCAATACTGTCTCATCTATGTATCCATCCCATCTCATCCCATCCCACAGCAAACAACCCCCCAGCCCCAGTCCAACACAGTTCCCCAGTCCCCAGCTCAGCCTTGGAGGTACCCACAGCTCCCCCAGCCCTGTAGAAGCCCCCAGGGAGATGTCCCCATGTTGCTGTCCCCGCCAGCAGGACACGTGAAGGTGACACCAGACCAAGGCACTGGCACCCAGCTGAGGGCGGCTGCTGGGCCAGGGCACGGAAACGTTGGCAAACGCCTTCCTGCAAATGCCAGCTCCAAACAAACACGCTTTCAGACAAATAAAACTGTGATTAATCAAGCACCTCAATTAGACACAATGAGCCACGGCTGATGATTAAGCCGAAGACTCACAGCAGAAAGCACATTAGCAGCATGGACACTTGGAGGCTGAGAATTAATTAAAACGTAGCAACACCCCCTAAAAAAAATCCCTAGTAAATGGGGGAGTGCGTGGAGGAGGGGGCTTTCCCTGCAGGTTTGGGGATGCCGAGTGGAGCCGTGTCCCTGTCCCAGCCCAGCTTCTCCATGTCCCCACGGTGACACCGGGGACGTGGGCACCTCCGCCAGAGCACGGCTGTCCCAGGGCAGCCCGAGGGATGCACCCTGCACCTGAAGGGCACGGGGGAGCCTGGCAGATTGTTTGCAGAAGCTCACTGCTAAATTATATTATAGAATATAGCAAGTTGTGTTCTTGCATTAATGCAATAGAGGGGACACCCACGAGGAGGTGACAGCAAGGTGGCTCTGGCCAGAGGCGCTGGTGGCCTTGGGGAGCTCCCGCAGCTTAAATCTGGGGGATGTATGGGGACAACAAGTGAGGTGGGAAGAGAGGAGAGATACAGGGAACCCAAATCCCTAAATATTAAATTCTGGGGTGAGACCAACCTCCAAAAACTTGCAACCCCCCCGCTCCTGCCCTGGCTGGGACGGGAGGGCTCAGGGTGACGCAGCTCGAGAGCCAAGCCCGGGGCGAGGGCGAGATTTGCTGCTGGCTCCTGGCTCCCAATAAAAGGCACCGTTTGGACAAGGATTAAGCCGCAGGCAATTTCGATGCTAATTCTTCTGGTTAAGTTCTTTAGTCCAACATCTGCAAGAAGCAAGAGGTAATTTCCCCCGGATCTCGAACAGCGACTCAAAGACGCTGCTAATATAATCTGATAGAGGGGAGAGGGGCGAAAAGAGAAAGGGAAAAAAAATCCAATTTACTGACTTATTTAGTGACACCTTTCGTAATCAATTCTCCCAGGAAAGAAATACTGATTAAAGCCAACCGTATTGCTATGGAAACCGGCAGTCCCTCCTCCCACGACCTGCAGGCTGCAAAGAAAATCGGGCGAGGAATCTGCCTGGTAACAACCGCGCTAATGAAGCGGGGAGCAAAAATAATCCCCCGGAGCATCGCCGCCGCCAAAGGAGCAGCCGGAGGCGGCCGCTGGGGAGGCGAAGCCGCGCGTGGCTCCCAAATATTGGTTTTAATGGCAGGGCAGAGCCGCCTGCCGGGGGGGATGCTCCCGGAGCCCTTTCCCACATCGGGGATGAGGGGCTGGAGGGGTGCGCGGGGGTGGCACCCATGGGTGCGCTGGGTGGAGGGCCCACCCTGACCTAGAAACACTCCCCAAAACCCCATCCATCCTCACTGTCCCATCACGGACGGCACCCAGGTGTCCCCCCAGCCCCTCCATCCACCAGCCCCATCCTTAAGCACCCACCCCAGCACCTTTAGGAGCTGCCCTCCCTCTCCTCCCACCTGCTGGGTGCCCAGCCACCGCCTCGGCCGCTTGCCCTCGTTTTTCAAGCCTCTAATTCGAGCCACTTAGGACGGGGAGTGACAGCGGTTACGGGTTTCATATGCACATATTAAAGGCGAGTTATTGTCAGCCGGGGAGACGGATGGGCCCGGCAGGGAGACGCGGCGCTGGTGGCTCCATAAATCTTCCCAGGGGCGGAATGAGAAAGCAGCACGCGGTGGGAAGTGGCTGCGGACACGGCAGCACGAGGACCAGAGCCAGAGCTCGGCTGCTGGGGGCTCCCCCGAGCAGCCACAAGGCTCTTTTGGGGTGCTTTAAGGAGCAACGGGCTGTGCAGGACATCATTAGCGCTGCCGTTACTATTTAGGAATTTAATAGCAATCCCATTTATTGAAAACCCAACAGCCCAAAACCCATCTTCCCGCGCCGGCAGGAATATCAGTGCTGGAGAGGCACAAAAGCTGGAAACAAATGGGCACGCATGTATGGATGTGCAGCCCTAATAGAACTGAAGCCCTTCATATTTCCAACAATTGCTGCACGTTAGCAAAATAACAATTGCAGTTAAGCATGCTGCCACCTTTCCCATTCATCACGGCGAGGATTTAATAAGGCGCCTTAGCAGAGCGCGCCGTGACCACCAGCACATTATTAAACGCAGCGATTAGCAGCTGCAGTGGATGGGAGCTCATTAGAGACTTCTTAAACATCCATAAAAATTGCTTTTATTAATCGGTTATTCCTCTTTTCATGCCCACCGCATTAGGCTGGCACCGAGGTGCTGTGAGCGTTGGGGCTGAAAGGCTCCAACCCGCCCCGAGCACCCCAAATCCTACAGCAGGACCTCAGCCACCCGTGTCCGATGGGGACATGGGGCTGTCCTCCATGCCAGGCTGAGTGCCACTTCGAGAGGCCATAGGGATGGCTTTTTTTTCTCCAAAAAAGGAGTTTCTTCCCCCCAAAGCCACCTGGGATGGAGTTGCCAGCTGGGACGTGCATGCTGCCCCAACTTCTGCACCCAAAGCGTGCCTCTGCCCTAAGCCATCGCCCTTTTGGTGCTTCCTCATGAGGATTTCCACGTAGAATTTCAGGGGAAAACCCATCAGGACAGCACAGATGGCCTGACAACAAGACTGGGGTCCCCACAGATGGGAAACGGGGCTGTCCCCGCTCAGCACCCAGCAGCACCCAGCTCCACCTCTTACTCCTTGGGGTCCCCAGCCCCATTAACGACAGCGCTAATTGCAGGGAGGATGCGGCCCATGGATAATTCATGGCGGGGAGGGGATGCGGGCGATGCCCATCGTTAGGGCTTGCTTTGCTTTGTCTGGCGAAGTGCCGCCTCCCCAGGGTGCCCCAAGCTCGCTGCCTCTGCGCAGCCTTTTGTTCGGGTGCTCGAATTAAAAATAATTGGGGCCGGGAGCCAGCCAGGGCGGGTGCAAGAGACACAGCCCGAGGAGAGCCGACGGCCCTAGGGATGACGATGAGGGGACAAGGAGGGGATGGGGACGCGCTCCCCCAGGGCTGGAGGGGACCTCACCAGTGGTGAGCTTCAGGGGAAAAAAAAGGAAAAAAAAAAAGAAAAAAAAAGCCTTTAATAATCAATTGGTATTTATTGAGCGGGCCGTAACAATAACAGCCTCCTGCTGCCAAATTAAATCCGTGTTTGGAGTCACCGAGTCAGGGACGTGCTGCGAATTCCCAGGCGGGTAAAAAGCCCCGGCGCTGATCCCAAACCAACCCCGCTGCTCCCAGGGTGCCCTCGGTCCCCGCCCCGGTGTGGGGGCTCGGTGCCATCCCCATCCCTGCAGCTGCCCTGGGGATGTGCCCCCCGCAGCGCTCCCACTGCCCCCCGCTGCTCT